ATCACTTGGCGTAATGTTGGCTATTAAAATGATTGTCAGTGAAATATAGCAGATCTACAGTTCGTACATACATACATACATGTAACAGTCAAATTATAATGGAGAAAAATTTGGTGATTACAATGACATGACGAACCTGCACAATCATCAAAGATTATTCACTTGCGATGTTCAAATTATTTGTCAATCAGTGAAATATAGCAGATCTACAGTTCGTGTAACAGTCAATTTATAATGGAGAAAAATTTGGTGATTACAATGACGAACCTGCACAATCTCAAAAGATTATTCACTTGCGATGTTCAAATTATTTGTCAATACATTATAAAATTATGAGTAGCAATCATATTTTCAAGCACCAATTATGTAACGGTAAATGTATAAGTGCTAGAGAGGTCGATTACATAACAGTATTTGAAAGTAGATCCTGAAATTGTCCAATCAGCTTACAAAAAACGGACAGACAATCAAAATTTTAATTTAGTATAGATATTATCGCTAGTAGGAACATTATACTGTTGGCCCTCTCAAAACCGGTATGCATGGTGGACGAGTTCTGTATCAGTTTTTGGAGGTTATCGGATTTGAAAAAATCATATGATAAATAGCTTGAAATCAACCAATCAAATTGCAGAATTGGTGTCCTAGGTTTGTGGCGCAGATTTGCAATAACAAAGAGTTATTGATGTTAGGGTTAGCGTTTATATTAGGGTTAGATGCTAGTAAATTAACTAGCAAATTTGCTTAAGGAAAACTTTTCGTTAGAGCATCAAAGAAGGTTTTTTATTTAGGTTTTTGAAAAATAAGCAATTTGTGACAAAACGTACTGAAATCTGATTCGTAGCTTTGGAAATCTGCGTCACATATATTATACGTACTCATCATTGATTTGGTTTGCTGAGTCTCATGGACTATGAGTGCATCTATTTGCCAACAGACTACCGTAAATGGCCATATAAAATACCCCCCTTGATAGTAGACCCCCTCTATTATACCCGGGTATAAACCAGGGTTAAGAATGTGAGAGACCTGAAGTTTCTTGATTAGTAATTTATATCTAAGAAGAAATCTACCTATTAATATACCCCCTCTAAACAATATACCCCTTGGGTATAATTCAAGTTTTTTAACCGTGAAATATAACATACCCGGGTCGTCTATATCTGATATGGCCATTTACGATATGTAATGTTCATTGACGATCCAAGTATGCTTAACCAACATTAGCATACATGTAAACAAATTTGAACGAAGTTTTCTCGATAACTACCTGACCAATTCAATGAAATTTTTTTATGAATATGTAGGATTAAAATAAAATCAGATTTCATCGAATTTTGTCAGGTAGTTATCGAGAAACTTCGCTTAATTTTAGAAAGAACTATCAGTAAATTAAATTTTTTAAAACTTTGAGAGAAGTTTTCTCGATAACTTCCTAACCAAATCGAATGAATTTTTTTATTTCTTTACATTCATATGATTAAAATAAAAAAAATTTATCGAATTCGATCAGAAAAACTTCGCTCAAAGTTTTAAAAATTCAACAGTACTTAAATTACTAAGGCTACACATAAATGATTTTTCGTTTTGCATTAAATGACATTCGAAATTTCGATCGGGGGTCGGAGTTTTTTTTGTTAATGTATGTAGCAAAGTATTTAATTTCTAAGGCTTTCTTAAAAAAGCATTTTACTTGTTCAGATGATTTCAAGTTCATTAACTTTTAAATCAGTTAAATCATAAGGCGTTATAAAGCTATATTGAATTTAAACCTATCGGATGCTTACAAAATATAAAAATAACTAGCAAATGTAATGGTTATGTACTAATCCGTTATTCATTTTAAACTTTAAAAATTAGTGCGTATTAATAATAAACATTCAAACCTCATTATTTTTTTAGTTGTATTGTTCTTCAATTCTTCTTCACTAATATCTTTTTTTTGATTTTTGACAAATTTTAGCTTTCAAAAAAATACTATTATCCTTTTGAAAACTTTATTAAGAAGTAAATATTACATTTCTCTTTTAGGAGATTCAGATATTTTATTTAACCATTTCACAATAAATTAAAGTAACTTTGATACATCATCAGAATACTAATCTATATAATCAAATAAAGAAACAGCACAATTTTTTTTCCGTTTATGCAAATAGCCTTCTTCAAAAATAAAATATGATACACAAATATATCATGTATATCTTGAGCTAGAGAATAATTCAGTAAATTCATTTCTATAAACACAGGGCAAATTTTTAACCTATTACAAACTATTTGTATGTTCTAATTACATATTTCTATGAATATTCTTTACAATACCTCCACAACTAAATATATATCTGTTATACCCACAGAATAATGAAAAATCATTACCTTATCTATAAAAATTTTACTTTTTGAAAAATTGTGTAATCACTTATTATCAATAGTTAAAATAAATAGTATAAACCCCTAACATATTTAATTTATTTCTTTTTGACTCTATAATAATTTTATTTACCATTTCAAAGTCCAATTCCCAAATCCTTCCAATGGTTTATGTACAGATTGAGAATATCATTATAATATTCTATTACAACTATCCACTATAATACATATTCTACTTATATGTTTAATGCTATTAGAATTGAGTTCTATAATTACTTCATCCTCTTGATGAGTGACAGGTTTTATGATATTTCTTTATCAAATGTTGAATCAATATCTTGTGACAACTAATTTATACTGATTTCCATATCATTTTCATGTGTTGTTTTTGTTAATAAATTAGCATAAGTTTTAGCTACCTCTAATGCCATTGTATCAAAATAAAGATCATATAAACTATTGTATAAGCTTATATCTCTATCTAAATTGCTTGTACTATATCTAGAAAATAGTGAAGATGTTAGTTTATGACTTTCAGAATTATTTCTAATACTGCCAGAATCAAGAATTTCAAAATCTTTATTGGGATCATTACAAAGAGTCTCTTCACAATAGTAAATATTCTTATTATTCAAAATCAGATTATCTATTATAACAATGATAATATAGTATATTCAAATTTATCAGCTAATGTCAGCTATTCTTTTACGAGTTGGGCCTACTATAATTGCTATTTTAATTAGGCTAAACATTTTCTTTACACCTGGACTGCATTTTTGTAAAACAAAAAAAAAAAGATTTAATAAAATTTTTGTGTAATGGTTTTTAGCTACCTGGTTTCAATTCGAGATTCTTTAAAACCTAGTCATACTATAAATTGTAACTCTATCAATTAATAAAGTGAAAGGCTAAAACTTACATTTTTGTTAAGCGCAGTAATAAAATATTTCAAAAAAAAAAAAAAATTGCCACTTAAAAAAAGAAAATTTTTCAAATCATATAAGAAATTTGTCAATCGTGCAGTAAAAAAGTGTACAGTTGCTACCCCTGCAGCATGACATATCCCCCGATCATTAGATGCCAGTAAAACCATACACTAATGTTCCTGGTACACATTATTATCTGCTGATGCTAAAATTTGAACTTATGTGTTTAGAGTTAAGTTAGAAGTTAAGGTTAGAGTCCATAATAAATGGGTATGCCATATTCCTCTGAAAATAAGCACCTTTTTTTTGAATTTAATGCTGGCCGTGATTGTCATAAAGTGGGC